CATTGGTACCTCATTCATCGGTGTTCTGGTCGCAGGTGCTTTGTTCATCAAGGCCTCAGGTATTTCTCCTACATATGTCGGAGAACCAGCCGCAGGGTCAGGGGGGTCATCAGTAAAGCCATTTAGATACAGTGATATAGCGTCCTCAACACTCCATCCTCCGTCTATATCAGGTTCTTCTGGCGATAAATCAGTCACAGAACTGTTTTTTGTAACAATGCTGCTTCTTTCTGTACCACTAGTTGGTTCTGCGCTCGATGCTGTCAGAGCAGATTGCGAACTGGATCGTATTTCACTGTCAATGCGAACGTCTGGCGGATGATAGTGAGGTGGGAAACGTAGCTGAGCAGGGCCTGAAGTAAACGGGAGCTGATCAAGGCGGAACTGCGAATGTTGCATTGGGCGAATACTCGAAGTTGACGCGGTAGATTTTAGACCAATTCGAGGGTTCTCATTATGTAGTGCTGGTCGCCTCCTTTCCATCTCGTTCCTAGAGAGCCATGACGATTGACTATCATGATCAGTGGCCACCTGATACGTCGGTGATCGGTAAGCGGGACTAGTATGGCTCGTAGACGATTGATGAGTTGGAGGGGCATTGGCCATATTGAGGTGACTCGAGGAAGCTTCGGGAATGGTAGGTTGGTAGGTCAGAGATCTGCCGGGTTGATATGCGCGGTAGGGACTGACAGGGCTGACGGGAGGGCCATTTTGGGGAAGACCGGAAGTGGTAACTTTTGTTAATGGATGAGGAAACGCGCCATGGCGTTGTTGAGGCCCCTTGACATCGTTTCGACCATCAGGAGGATGGTATCTGGCGTTTCCATTTTGTGTGACCATTGCCACCGAGGAAGAGAATACTCGTTCTGGACATTTGCTTCGACAATTCGATTGGCCTTTGAGGTCGCTTGTCCCCTGCAACGGAAACCAAAAAAAAAAAAAAATTAAAAGAATGGCAATTAGGTTATGGTAATTATGTACTCGCAAAAATGGATGTAAAGGAGCGTTGAGGACTTTGGCCGAGAAGTTGCGCAGTTGGTCGGGCTGTAAGAACCCGGAACAAACGGGTGGGAAGAACGGAATAAAGCGCGAAGGGTGCCAGCTTCACAACACCCACGAGCTTCTCAGGATCCAGCCGGAGGTCAATTGCAGTGAAGGGGTCGTCCCGTCAACCCGGGGGCAAGGAAGAATGGAGGAAACGAAGAAGTCGACAGAGGCCAACTCGAGGGCGGGCGTCAAAGGAGGTTGAGATAGAGTTGTTCTGGTGGGAGTGCTGGAGGCCGAAGCCAGAGCTTGCCTTTCGCTTACCAAGACAGACTAGTTAAGCCAGCTCCAGCCCAGAGCAATTGCGGCCACTTCCAAGCCTTCACTAACAAGACGGACCGCCAATGATACGAGGCAAGGATTCCATTGCCAGCGCCAGCGATATCTGTGATGATTTCTGTTTTCGGGAAGTTGCTCATCTCATAGCCGCTCACTTTTTTAATTGGCTCGCCAATTACAAAATGGGCGGAGGGATGTCATGGTAACTTTCTCTCCAACCAGTGGAAAACCACGCAGAAATCTGTTGCTGTGTTGATGGCAACATAGCGAAAGCAAAGACTGCGAAAACCGGATTCCTGCATCAATAATCAGCATAAATTTATGCACCGCTGATACCTATGAAACAAATAAAACAAAATAAGCAAGCCAGTTGTGCGCTTGAATTTTCTCTTCTGCTTCGAAAGAGGACGCTCACAAAACACCTTCCCCAGGTGTATTGATACGTGCTACTTCAAGGAAGATTTGTCAAAACTTGACCCAGGCCGGTTGAGAGGCGAAAATGTAGACACTGGAGAGGACAAGGGACGAAAAAAGGTGCATTCCGCAAACTGGTGATCGTCCGACCCACATCTGGTGTGAGTTGTGTTTGGATATCTCGTATCATAACGTATTTCACCACTTCCTGAGACACTAATGCACATGATATAGGGTGATTTAAGATCTACCTGCTCAATATTCAATCAATTGCTGATAGAATCAAGAATTCTAGATACCCACCCACCTGCCCATCTCACTGCATGATATTCAATTGATTGCTGATGAAATATAGAATGCTAGATAGCTGTCTATCTATCTACCTCCCTACCTTCCAACCAACATGGCTGCTCAATATCCAACCAATTTCTATAAGAATAAACATCATCATCTAGCTGCCCACCTACCTGGCTGTCTACCTACCTATTTATCTACTCACCTGCTTGAATGATTGATCTCTACCAATGATATCATTATCCAGTGATGGTGACATATGTTGATGGTGATATATCAATGATACCTGGCGATGATATCTAGTGATGAATGTCGATGATGATATATTGATGATATATATCGATATTAATAATATATAAATATATAGTTGATATATTATTGCAGTGGTTCTGTTGCTTACAAAAAGCTTCATAATCTGTAGAAGAATAATGTTGTTGTGTATATTAACTAGCTAAGTGAGAACAACACAATAATAGATTGAGTGGCACGTGTCTGAGGTAGCCGTAGTAATGTCTAACATGATCATATTTATAGGCAAAATCCCGCTGAATATTCGAGAACACCTTCAATAAACGCAACATATTTGCTAAAAAAAATGGAAATTTGTCGAAACCGTCTCACAGAAAATAGTCGATAAGCTTTGCTGTTTCGTCTACAACACTCAATGATGTCACAGCTCTTCCGACACAACGTGAAGACAGATCCCCCAACATATAATAGACGGCAATAAACACATAACTCTAACAATGGTAACAGAGACAGAACATGAGATAAGATTCCATAAATGCTATTTGAATGCCATAAATGCATATGTCGGCTTTTGCATGTTGCTGGTAGCAATGTTTGATGCAATAACATTGTCAGCTTTGTAAGGTTTGAATACGGGTCATGACTGCTTTGCTGACATGCTTACTTCATAGCAACTTTGGCAGGATTCGGTTTCGGGATGTCTTTGTACTACTCGGCTGCATCAGGAATGGATGGGATATTAACTCCTGTGCTGAAGCACGTGCTTCAGAGAGCCACTTGAATATTTAGTTGAGAAAATCCAACAACAGCCGGTGATCCTCACCTTCCAGACGCCACTCTCTAAAAAAAAAGAGACTGCTCGGGAATGGGCGTTGCCGCAATCCACTGTCCTAAGATAATTTCAGTTTTAAATCGCTTTCAGGAGATGGACAGATGGTACAAAAGGATACTAACCTTCAGAATGCCAGTACTTGTGTGGGGGAGGCCCCATGAGTGCAACCATCTCAGCAAGACGTTGCTCATCATCCAGAATGCAGTTTTTAAGGGCATAAAAAAGGCGACCGCCTTCAAATAAATCCCATACCTGCTATATTGTGAGCAGGTATGTACTGGCTCTTGGTATGAAAGGATGTTGGGCATATTTTGCGGGTAATAACTTATTTCTGTGGTTAACTTACCAGGACTCCAATTGACCAGATGTCAATCTTGCAGTCCCATTCCATCCCTAGGATCACCTCCGGTGCACGATAGAAGTCAGACATCACATCGCCTAGATGCTTCCTTTCGCCAATCCTAGCCCCTCCAAAGTCAAAGCACTGGCGTGCCATCGGTTATGGGCATAGAATGGGACCGATAGATGGTCCGGTCCGAAATGACTTTGCGGGCGCGACGGTGCTCTAACTCAGATTGCTCGATTTTGGAAAACACAGAGGGGCTCCGGGCACCCAAAAGGATATTGTTAGGCGAGATATCTAAAATGAGAGCAAATTGTTAGCGCAGTCGTATGCAAACACACAGAATACTGGATTAGCCTGTTCCTGAGGTGACACAGAATCATACCTGTATGTACCACGCTCAATTGGTGCAGAAGATCTAGACCAATCAGGATTAACTGGTAAGTCTGTTGGAGCAGTGTCTTATTCAGCATGCGATCTGGCTGTGAATTGCGGAACTCAGTATAAGTCATCCCCTGAGGCATATAGAGTAGGCATCTGTGTTCCCCCCCAGGCCCATAGATGGTGAATTCTCTGATTATGAGTCGGAAGTACCTTTTACCGGGATGTTTAATATTAGCGGCTCGAATATGTCTCGCTACAGCCACTTCATTGGTAGACTGGGCAGCGACACCAGCTTCCTGTCTGCAGGTGCAAACTTTCAGAGTTAGGTAGTTGCCGAACCTAAAGGACATGAGATACCTGAACTCGAGGGGCTAACTAGATGTTGTAATCACCAGTCATTTCTCACTTCAAGTCCCGGCAGAGCCATATACTCGAGCCCACTCCAAACCCTAGCTTTGCGATGACTTGATATCTAGATTTGAACACATCTCCCAGTCTGACTGGGTAGAAATCTTCGGAATGATAATCTGGGAGCTCCTCTTCTTCTAATTTCACGTCGTGGGGCAGCAGTTAGTGTGGACTCCGGGTCACAGTTGAGCCGTTTCGAAGGAGACGTGAGCTCATGGTTATCGCATGCGCAGGATGGCGACGTTCTGAAGCGCAACGAGTAGCAGGGAAATGATATGGTATCGGATAACAGAATAAGAACGGCCGCAATTCGAACCGAAGAGAGGTGCGAACGACCATGACTAGAACGTTTGGTATTTGTCAGGTGGTGCAGACTTCAAATCCTACCCTCGTAATGTTGAGCTAAGGACCTCTTCCTTGCGGCCTCATAGATTTTTCAGTTCGCGTTTCAAGTATACTTTATGGAACAAATCCAGACTGTAATTTGTATTGCTCAACGGGGAACAAATGTTGCAACAGAATTTCGCATTGTCTTGGAAGGTTGTCCAATCAGTTCCCTGGAATCCGCCTCGTAAATATTAGACCTCTTTGCATGGCGCTTTGCTTGGAGAGGTGAATACTTTGAAATGTCGACTAATTATCTTACAAGCAACGGGGCTGTCTTTCGTCGCACTCATGTTTCACTAAGAAGAGCAAAATAAAGCCTGACTACTAGCTTTGCAAGTGCAAGTTAATCAACAAGAACATGTGGCACGACTGTGTAGTTGACAGAATTCAGATGCTAATAACATGCTTTGATCGTGGTTTCTGTATCTATCAGGACAGTATATTTACTAAACCCACCCCTCTCTTATTCTAACGTATTTATCTGTACGGTAAACTGGCGAAGAATGAAAGAATGGAAAACAAACGCTTGACAACGTGGGTACCAGAATGCAATTCCAAAAACACAAAATTTTCCTCCCATCAAAGCTGAACATGAATATGCCGAGGAAACCCAACATGTAGAATGAGAAAAAAAAGAAAATTGGCATCCCTAACGAGCCCACAGAAAGTATTGGAGGAGTTGAACAGGAAGCCGAAGAACAAGAACCTTGACGCTCACCTCCAACCCACAAGAAAGGCATCAGAACCAAACGGCAATGCAAGGAAAAGAAAGCTGAAAACAGATAGTATGGAAATAATAGTAAAAACAATCCAACCTGCCCGACCCCTCCCCCATCTCCGACCGGAAGCACGCAGTCAGGAACCTATCCACCGCTCCCATTGTCTCTGCATCTAAAAGATTCTATCCCTCAATTCTACTTCCCCGAGGCATACTTCCTTGTCCAGTCTCTTGCAATCTCATCGAACCTCTTCCGATCATCGCGGTACTGCTCTGCAATGCGGCCCTCGACTGCGTCATCCGGCATCGGCTCGACAAGCAGCTGCCTCGCGAATTCCAGCACAGCAGCGATCCTAGATGAGGGCTTCCACTCGTCGGACTTAAGCATACCAAGACACATACTTCCCTTGTCATCGTTGGTGACGTTTGGGTGGTAGATTTTTGTGTCAAAGGAGACCGTCGGCGGCTTGAAAGGATAATCGCTCGGGAGGGAGAGGTTGATGATGAATTTGCCGCCCTATTGAGTAGAGAGGGGTGTGTGTTGTTGTGAGCCTGGGTAGATAACAGGGGATGTGTGTGTGGAACGATATGCTTGGTCTGGAATCTTCTGCTTTCTTGGGTGAACTGTTCGGGCGGAATGCATACATTGTATGGTGAGGATTCAGGGCCCTGCATGTGGACTTTCCAGTTATAAAGGTCTGAGCCATTTGCGAGAGTGACGGATATGCCCGTCGGGGGCGACTCCATTAGCTCATTGAACTCCTATATTGGGCGATTTGGACCCGTCGACACCTATATTCAACTTCTTCCGTTCGCAAAATGTGGGGGAGGGGCTGGCTTAGAGATGACAGTGATATACCTTGGCGATACGCTTTTGGCTTCCCATTTCCGCCTGTATTATGCAAAGTCCTCTATTTGTATATGTTATATATAAGTATTAGAGTCAGGAAGCATGAATTGTTCTGGGAGATGATATGGAGAGTGAGTGATATGCTGATTTTGAGCTTGTTGTTGCCTTCTCACCTCCAACCTAACAAAAGCACTTAGCGGGTCCTGTAGAACTCTCGCGACCCACTTTTAGTGTAACTAATCTGTACTTTCTCCGTTATCCCTACGCAGGATCAGTCATTGGTCAATCACAGTAGTAGGGGTTCAATTTGGATAACTTACCTCGTCTGCTTTTGTCAACCTCCCAGAGGAGGAACGGTTCAGTACTATCTATGAGCAGGCACCTCTTGTTGAACTTTGATTATACATATAGGCCCTGGTGACTGTTCTCTGTCTATCGTTATTTTAAGGATCTCACACTTGTTCTACGAGAAATTATAGTTCTCTTTTTCTGCATATGTACGGAATAGAGCGAAGCGGCTACTAGTAATAATAGGCAGTGTACGGAGTAAAGTGCCAGCTAAAAATAGCAAATAATGAGTTACAGAAAATTGTAATGAGGAACAGGCACAAGCAAGCCCTGAGCGCTTCCCGTACGATAGATAGCAGTTGTCCGTTTCTACAGCCCATTACCCTCCTTATACGTAGATAGTTAACTTCTGAGCGAATGCCAGGGCGTGGTGACGCTTATGGCTTGACTTTAATACTCAATCCACTGTTGAATCCGCTTATATGTAATATCAGTCCAGGCTTTATATCACTTTATATCTGCTAGAATAATATATATTCCAGAGGGGATCAAGAAAATCTACCTGCACTTCTGCTTGCATTTAAGAAAAATGTTGACAGCTCTCGGATTGATGAAGAGCAGATACGGAATACATCTCATTTTGGGTCACCCTCTCATTGTTTCCCCGACAGTACCTGAAGGTTTTGCTCTCAAGCAACGACGACATGATTGTATGGGACCTCTGGTGTGAAATTACACCTTGCTTTAGCCATGAACCTCGTAATTACACTAGTATTGTTATTATAATAAGTATAGTTGTTGAAGGCATTGCAATGGTATTAGTAACTGGACTCCTGGGTATCGGATATCGTAGCTGGACTGCCCTTCCTTATCGAATTATTTCATACAAGCATGCCTCGCTTGCTATGCGCATTTTGTATTTTGTATTTGAGGGAGCTTAGTTTGGTCACAACATATGATCATATGTGTTATACTGTACAATAAATTTATGATTACAAGAACAGCCTATCCACAAGCCATATCTAAGCCGTATATCCACTTTCAAATTTAGTGCTAGGGAAGAGGATTGGGCCAGGATTAGAGCCAGTTAAGGCCTAATATATAGATACATGAACACAAATGGAAAGGCCGCCTCGACTGTAGAGACTTCATTTTTACGTTGCTGGGGTTCAAATTTCCGAACCACGTTCAAAGGCTTCAAAACACTGGTCGAAAATTGAAACCAACTTCCGGGTTTGCCCGAACCATGCTGAGCTATTATGCGTTTTTGAATGTTTAAGTAGTCACTATTCAATGATGAATATGTCCCCCGGGTCCCAACATATCTGAATGTAAGGAAATAGCACAATAGCAGAAGGAAATAAATGAGATTCCTAGACACGGGGTGGGCTAGGAGCCTAATTCACTAAAGAGAAACCCAAACAAAGCCCAACTCCGTCCTTTCTTGAATACGCAAAAGAAGCGAAGAAATAAAAAAACTGTTATTCTTAAGGATTAACGGGGTAGTTAGCAATACAAGGGAACGAGAAATATATATCACGTATTCCTCGAAAAATTTTATTCCCGTTGTAACATAACCATCAATCCCATGAATCCCAATAAAACGCTCTTCAGCCAGGGATGCTCGGAGAGCATAATCGTAACATAGCCAATAGCTGGTACGTAGCCTCTGACACTTCCCATGAGATCCGTTTTTCGGTCTAGGAATTCCTGGCCCGGGGCGTACAATTCAGTGTCGTCTGATAGGTTGTTATCGCCTTTTGTGAGAAGTTTTTGCGACGCCCTGCGAAGACAATATAGAGTATATGTATTAACATAAAGAACCCAACCGTTCCCAATTTAGAGAAGAAGAAGAGAAGCTGGAGGAAAATAACTTGGGAAATACAACTTACTCAACACCTTCCACGTCCTTGGCCCCAGTAGTTGGGACATCCGGAAACACCCTCATAACCCGATGCACAATCGGAATATCCTTGCCTTGCACGTTATACACCACAATCTCCCCAACATCGACGCGAGGACTCCGATTCCACAGAAACAGCAGATCCCCGCGCTGGAACGCTGGCTCCATACTGCCTGAAAGAACTACGACGACGGGGGATGCCGAGTTGGTGATGACTGATAGGGCCTTCCAGACCATAAAGGCGGAGGAGAGGACGAGTCCGAAGTTGAGAACTTGCGAAAGGGTATTTCGCGGGTTCGCCATGTAAGGGGATAGGGAGGAGAGCATGGTAGCGGTGGTGGCAGTGGTTACGGTTGCGGTGCAAAAGGAATTGTATTTCAGCAGAGGCCGTAATGGAGGTACTTCGCGGGGGAGGGTTGAAATCAGTTTAGCATGGCTTTGTAAAGGTGTGACGATATTCCAAAAAGCGAAATATATTGTGGTTGTTCACAGCCAGTGTGCTGCTCAATGTTCAATGTGCTAATGTTGTGGGGAATTGACAGATCTCACCAAAGCTGATTGGATCTAATTTAGACTTCGATCGTCGAGCGCACCGCCAATAAACATCCGAGAAAATCACAGGTTGTTCCCACCTATCTAAGCTTCCAGAAATGAATCTAACAGATCAACCTTCATCACACGTCTATTTTTCAGACACATCACTCATACAGTAACTAACTTCAAGATTTATTATTAGTTCATCAAATTGTTCATCCGGTTCCCATTTCCTCTACAAACCCTAGCTTCACATCAAGACTCACGCCATCATGCTCCCTAGAGGAGCCTGAAAATGCCCCGCCGCGCATTTCCCCGGCTCCTCAATCTCCATTTCAGCCGCTCTAATCATCACAGTCTTTTTCAACCCTTCAAACCTGCTGACCGTGTCCCAGTACAAGCGCCCCTCCACCCTCGACGCAGCTACCATATTTACACCAACCACTCAACCAAGTACGCCCTCAATGGCTCTTCTTCCTTCGCATAGTGTTCTGCCAGTGTACTAGGCAGAGCCGCAGGTGGGCTTCCCGTCCCATTGGGGTCATTTGCATCCGTGATGTGATTGGTGTCTAGACGTGGAAAAATATATGCAATCATTGTTAGCATTGTCTTGTAGCTGATAACGGGGAATCCAAGACGGAGTTTCCGTAGGACGAGTGCTTGCAAGGCAGGTATCTCGAATGTCTGCGCCAGCATATAGATGTAGCCGCAGCGCAGGACTTCATTTTCATGTTCTTCGTGGGTGACAAGACCTTCAAGATAGAAGGTTATGCCGCGATTACGGGACGTGGAAGGCTTGTTCTCAAGATGGTGGTGGCTTTTCATTGAAGTGATGAGCTGCTGGGTATATTCACCAATATCCAGAAAGGAGAGCAGCACTGCAAAATCGGTGTGGGAGGTGTTGTCAAGAATCGGATCGCTGGCAGTGGTGGTTTCGTTCCTTCTCATGAGACTGCTCTCCAGAAGACCTGATTTGGCGACGCAATGACGTGGGATGTTGTAGATTTTGCGACTCGTTCCTACGCCAATGTATACATCCACTCTGCCCAGGAGAGGTTCCTTGTTGTTGTGTTGTTAGTCATGCATTGCAGATATCCAGATCAAGAAAGGTGGAATTAGTAAAGAAATGCCAATATATACCAGCGAATCCTCTGGGAATCTGCAGTTTTCATGAGCTGGGTGGCTTGGGCAACTTGAGCTACAGGTTCTTCGATGCTTTCCCCTGATAGACTACAACCATCTTGAGTGGGGCTCGAGCGAGCCTGTTGAGTCGTCTTCGTGAGAGTGGTGGTAGTAGTTGAGCGAGGTTGTAGCCTGCCTGCAGTAGTAAGACGGATCATCTCTTTGCGTTCTTTAAACTCCCCAAGAGCCATCCGTTCCCAAAACACAACATCCCGCCCCTTCAATGCCAAATCCAGAACCTCGCAAAAAACCGAGAAATCGGGGCAAGACTCGAACTCGTCGTATCTTGAGCGGTGGATTTCGAACAGATGAATAAAGTGCGACCATATGCTAAATACAATATTGTTAGTAGTTATTACTCTCGCACAAACAACCTCTGAAATACCTACATCCTCCCTTTCTTCGGGAGATAGATAGGGTAATGACGACGATCAAGCTGAGTTGTCCATTGGCCGGCTCTCGGGGGCGAACCAACTGGACAATGGCGCCAGGCCTCGTCAGGTATCATCAAATTGGAGCAGATGACTCCAATCCAGAGTTCTTTCTTTCCTTTATCGCGATATTGGATGAGAAAGCATTCTCCGGGCTTCAGCGGCATGATGGGGTGGATATTGGGATAGAAGTGCCAGAGCTTATTCATATTTAAACTTATGTTTATACCTTTTGAGGGGTGTGATAACTGGACATGCGGACAATGCAGTAGCAATAGGGACGAGGATAAGATTTATGGGTAAAAGGAGAGGAAATCTTAGTTGCTAGAATAGTAACATGTGAAGCTTGCAGTTCAGAGAACGGTGCGTGAATGCTTCCGAAGTGTTGTTGCGGTAGAGGGGTTAATTTAAGTTTCACTGAGAAAAAATTCAATGGATAACACATTGAAATTGAGCGGGCCAGTTTCAATTGCAAAACAATGACACCGAAACAGCAGTAGGCAAATCAATAAGGTTGCTAGGTGAAGGCATCCTTCATAGAAGGCAAATATTCCAGGTCAGAGACACGAATCTTAGATATGACTCGAGGATTTATAAATGTTTACGACGATATCAGAGAAGCATAATAAAAGGGAACGTGTGAGGTGGCCGAATCTCTCAAATTCTTATATAAACCTGATCATGCGAGGTTCATCGCAGCCGGGAAGTATCGTACAAAACAGACACCTCCTCATCAAGGCGCGCTGATAGCGGATGCCCAACGCAGACAGAAGAAGTAGACGGGTAATAAGAAAATCATTAATAAAACCAAAATGGCAAAAGGAAATCGTCGCGAAAGACGCCGAAGACTTGGCTGTAAAATGTTTTTCCTTCCGGAGGATTAGTTAAGTGTGAAGGCAAATTCCTGGTATACGTTATTAGGGGGACATATTAAAAAAGAGTAGAGGGGGTTTTTCTTCTAAACCAAATTTGCGGCCAACCTCGAAAAGAAAGGAAGTTTTTCATCTGAGTGAAAGGAAAAACAACCTCGGAACCTTTCTCGGCATTAATCCTACACATTCTGGTTTAGATGCTCCCTGAGATCCGACTTGATAACTCCGAGGCGTTCGATCTGTTCCGCAAAAACTCAGTGCAATTTCATCTTTAGATGACTTTGGGAGATCGGTTGTTACTGTGGGCCGTGTCAAAGATGTAAGCCCCTGGCAAAAGTGGCAAACAAGAATAGATTAGTGGACAAGGTAAGAAGAGCAGGGAGCGTACCTGATCTCGACAATGTCATCGATGTGATTGCACATCGCTACGAAAAGATCGAAAAACAATTTGCCGCCACTTTCCATCTCCATCTGCATGGTTCCACTCCTCTTAAAAGTCTTACGACTTCTGATGATCAGGGCTAGAAAATGAGCGCGGAGCCGCGATTCGTTGTCTGGCGTATGGTCATACGCATACCGAGCTGATCGAAGGATCACGTCGACAGGGATTCCGGTCTGAAGGCCCTGTTTCCGAAGAGCAAGGTGCTTCAGATCCTCCAAGCCGTACTTCTCAGCAGCGCAATACACAGCAGTATCTCGGAGGAGATAGTCGCAAACACCAGAGTGAAAAATTGTCGATTCGCATGATCCGCGGCCTCCTTTGTTTTGGGGGTCCTGGGCATCCTCGAGTGCCCAAGAGTTGCGGCGTCTGTTGTGTAGCAGACGAGGGTAATAGTCACCCTTGTAGAGGTATTCGAGAATACAGGACAGTATCTCCGGCTCTCTGGGAGGAAATAAGAATTTGGATGCCATGCATCTTGGTCAAAGTTGAAATACTTACTCGTCAGGCAGGTCCACCTGTTTCGCGCTACCATCCAGAACTTTGTCTTTCAAGGCAGCAACAAAAAAAGGGGAGATTGACAGGACATCCTCATGGGCAGCGAAGAGGCGCTGTTCATGACCAACAATCATGGTGATTATGGGGCTCGTTATCTTGCTTCTCAAAAGTTAGAAAGGAGACATATAGAACATATAGAAAAGAGAGTTCAGGATGATGAGATCGATGATTCACCAACCTTCCAGCTGGCGGACTGTCCAGCTTTTCCTGCAATTTGACCTTCGTACGCTCGCGATAGATCTTCTTGGTCGGCTTGACAGCCTTGCCCGCGCGATCCCTTGAGGTAAAAGAGCGTTTGAACATTTTTCCGTCGAAGTCGAAAATCAAACGAAAGAACAAAGGACAATAAAGAGCGGCGGAAGAACACGGGGGTTTATATAATGAGTGTGATGGCTTTGAGCCAGGATTGAAGACGACGCTGCTTGATCACGCACGTAGCATGGGAGCCTCGGAAGCCTCCTCAAGAAATCAGTCCTCTGGCCACCTAACTCCCGAAGGAGAAAATGATGACAGGAAAGAATGTGTTCCTGAAGGAGCTTTTCGCACAAGATTCCGAATTGAAACCAATGTGCGGGCGACAAACGGTCAGCTCTGAGAAGCGTGAGGAGGAGAGAGGAAGGAGGGGAGTAACAGCGATGAATGTTGATATGCTGGCGGCGGGTCATGTGATACCCCGGGCAGCGTTACCTCTATCCCTTCGTCTGGCCGCCAGGCACAATTAGCGCCTTTTTTTAGTGTGTACATTAGTGTATTAAAAACACAAAATCTACTGGATTATATGAGGGATTGGCTGTATTGGCATGTTTTTATGTAATATATGTAATTTATTTGATCTAGCTCTAATTAAAATATAGAATGGAACTTCTATCAACATTGACATTTTAAATAGAAGAAAATATTATTACATACAACATAATCAGATTTTATTTTTAAAGTTTTATCTTTATTTTTTTCTATTTTCTTTCTTTATACTGATATCAAGCACAAATTTAAATAAGTGATACAGAAATCTGAAGTTTGATTTGTTTTTATTGATATTATAATCTTTATAAATGATTGATTTTTTCTTTGTTTTAATAATTGTAATGTGACGGCGCCGAGGCGGTTGCTACTCGGCAGCGGCACAGAGGAGGATGGTATATAATGGGAAGCCTTATGGGTGGGCTTGATTATCTCGCTTGAACCGCGAACTCGTAGAATACTATACAAATACTGTACTACCAGAGGTACTCGGCACACTAAGAATATTGTATGAGGACAGTGGTAACTCTGGTATCTTATTGTCAAAAGATAAAAGACGAATCGCTGGCTCCTGGAATAGAGAGCCAGCATCTAGCTATTCTATATAGACAACGGGCAGCCATCCTCCCCTCACTCTATGAGCGAGGGTAGCCGAAGCAACTCCGCAGTGGCGCTGCATTGATCTGCCAGAAGGAATCCAGACCCCGTATAGAAACAGGATTCTCATATCTCATCAATCGGATCCTCTTCTATTGCATCCGAATGATGTCATAGGGTGGTTGGAAACCGGTTCGGACACCTGCGTGATGTCATGGGATAGATGGGATTATCCGAGGGAAACGATGGGCCGTGTGGAGCCGTCACGGGGCCTTGGCACAACCAAGGGTGTGACAATGCCCTCCCCTTTAAAGGCATAGTCCCGATGCCTCAAGATTACCGGATTGGGAATTATCTTTGTTGTGTAGCAACGGTTGCCAACCGCTTTGGCAGCGCGCGCGCTGCGCGGCATAAAGGAATGGGTGAGTCTTATTCAACGTGATTTTTCTGCTGAATGCGCAGTCCTTCTTCTTCTTCCCATCACTGTCATATCCAAACGTTCAGTAAGTGGATTATCGATTTGAAATGTGGAAACATGGCTAACAAGGGGCTTGCAGATCTTCGTCTTTGTTCCTGTCCTGTGTATGGAATTTCTTGCAAAAGTAGTGCATGGGAACGTCGTCCTTGGAAGACAGTAAGGGGGCTTATTTTGATATTTTCTAGTGGGTAAAAAACGTTTACGTGGGGCAGCTGCGGCTTCTGTCGCGGCCAAAAGGCCCAGGTTGGAGGCGGAGGGGGAGACCCCTAGCAGCTGGGGGGGTTTTGCTCCTCCCCCCCTGCCGCTGTCACACCCCCCCCCCCCCCGCCAATCAACAGGGCGATGTATGACCCCGCATGGTCGTTCGGAGAGGACCTCAGGGAGAGCTTGGTTCCTTTGCTTTCTCCTTGTGGGGAAACCCCGGTGCGGCGCCTGGCTGGCACCGCTACCTGCCTTCGCTGCGCCAAGCAGCTTCGAGAAGGGGGGATCCTTTGCACCCGCCCCTCTGCCCATTCACGCTGTTTCCGTTGCGTGAAAAACAACGACACCTGCCTTCCTGTACGTACTGCTCCTTCTGTAACGGCGCCGTGCCGGTTCTGACAAGGCGTATAGGTGCCAAAGCAGTACAGGGCCAAAGTTGTGGATCTCCAGGCGTTGGCGGATTCCGTCCGTTCTGGGGAGGTTCCCAAGGCCCGTCTGGAGAAGGAGGCGAAAGCGTGGGTCTCCGAGGTGGAAAAACACTTCAGAATGGCCGGCCCTAAGAAGAAGGGGTCGGCCGGCGCCGCCGTTGGAAGCGCCACGGAGACAAATCGTTTGTTGGAGAGGATCTCGCTCCAATTGGAGCAGGTGACTGAGGTGCTTTGCAAATTGGTAAGTTGACACTTTGTTGTACTTTCCTACACCCCCCTGCGGCGCCGCAGCGCTAACTCCACGGCAGGCAAAGGTGCCGGTGCCAGGGACTCCGTCGGTGGAGGAGGAGTTCGGTGGGGGTGAGGTGGTGGAAGAATGAGGCCTTCAGGTGTTTTCTTCGATCTTCGTGGGCTTCGGCCCTTATAGAATAATAGCGACCCTCAGGCCAAATAAAATTGCATTAATTGTTGGTTCTTCATATCCCTTTTTTCCTTCCTACCGCTCTGAGATCTTTGAGCTGCGTAACCTCATTAAACTCCTAAAAACCCCTAGGGAAAAATAGGAGAAGAGTGTTACAGCGTCTTCGAGGCACCGGCTCACCACCGCGAGATCATCTCTAAAAAACCCTTTGGGAAAAAGAAGAAGTCTCAAGCAGCAGCTCTTGCCTAACCACACCTCTGACGTGCAGCGGGGCGGTCTCTACTAGCCACCTCATATTTTGCGATCTCTTCCTCGGCATTCTCTAAATGCTCAAGCGGTTCCCATGAGTTCTCGGATGATGGATAACCTTCCCATTTGACAAGGTATTGAACTTTGCTGTAGTGCATTCGTTTGTCCAATATTCCTTCTACAAGATATTCGGTATTACCCTCAATCTCGACGCCATCCGGCCGAGGCGGCTCCGCCCCGGGTCGTTGCTTATAGGGTTCCAAATAGGAAATGTGGAAGACAGGATGGATAGATTTGAATCCTGAGGTTAGTTTCAACTCATATGCCTGCTTACCCACTACCCTTATTATCGGGAAAGGTCCCAACCATCGCTCACTGAGCTTCTTGCACGGTCTCGTCGTCTTGATGTTCTTTGCTGAAAGTAACACTTGATCCCCTATTGAGAACTTCATTGGAAGGTGTTTTCGATTATAGTATTCCGCCTGTCGCTCCTGGGCGCGGCGGATGCTTTTCGCCGCCTCCCCGTGGATTCTATCCAGAAGCTCCAATCTAGCTTTTACTTCTGGCACCGAGGGGTACTCTGTCCCACGATCCCGTTCGACATTCCGACTGTCTATCCCCCCCTTTAGGACGTCGTCCGCGACGTCACTAGGTAATGAAGGATTATACCCATAACAAGCATAAAAGGGGGACACTTTTAAGGTTGCATTCTTTGCATTGTTATATGCGAATTCGGCGGTCGGAAGGTGTCTAGGCCAGTCATTCTGATGATATGAACAGAACGCCCGAAGATGGTGTTCTAATGTCTGATTCTGACGTTCAGTCTGGCCATCTGTCTGAGGATGGAACGCGGTGCTGAGGAAGCGCCTTATCGTAAGGTGATAGCAAAAGGCCGACCAGTATTTACTGGTGAAAAGGGATCCTCGGTCTGACACTAACGATTTCGGAGAACCGTGATCACGAATGATGGCATCTAGAAACAGGTCAGCCAATTCAGGGGCTTTAACCTTCTTGTGGGTAGGGATATATTTGGCCATCTTCGTAAAGCGGTCGACAATAACTAGAATTGAGTCATATCCTTTGACTCTTGTCGACTTCGGCAGGTCAACTATGAAATCCATCGATAGATCCTGCCATGGGCCCTTTGGAACAGGCAGTGGCGCCAACTCGCCATATTGCTTGTGCCGCGGAACCTTTATCCTCTGGCAGACATCACAAGTTTCAACATACTCCTTGACATCTGTCCGAAGCTTGTCCCAAACGTACTTACGTCTCAGGAGCTCTTCAGTCTTCTCTAATCCGAAGTGCCCAGCATGGGGATCATCGTGATGAATCCTCAATAACTCCTGGCGCACCGCCCTGCTACGAGGGACAAAGACTGAACCATTTAGCAGTAGGAGTCCACATTCCCCTAGTTGCCAGCGACTTGGTTCCTCGGCGGCACCGCCCCGCTCAGGGCTTGCCCCTTCCAAGTTCGACCCGGATCCTTCCTCCTTCAACTTCTGGATTCGAGCCGCAGTAAGGGCGTCCCCCTGCTGCAACTCACCAATGAATTCTAGAAGCCGTTGGGTTGGAAGGTTGTAGACCGTTTCGTCTTCCGCCAATTCAATGGCAGCAAAACGTGGCACGAGAAGTTCATGACCTTCAGTGCCAGTCCCCTGCGGGGACCCGAGTTCTCCTCCACCTGTATAGGGTCGCGCAGCTGCCTTACCGGCGCCGTTCCCAAGCTTTAGAGAACCCCAACCCCCTGCAGCCAGTTTCTTCTGCAGTGATGGTAGAGGTCCCTTTGTAGGATCCTCATCCCCATCAACGATATCATAATCGGGTCGCCTTGATGGCGCATCGGCGGGGTTAAGCCGACCTGGACGGTATCGGATAAAGAAATCATACTCCGAAAGCAGCTCCGCCCACCTGGCTTGACGTCCTGTCAAGCTCTTTGTTGTCAAGAAGTAACGCAAATTTGCATGGTCGGTGAGAACTTGCACCGGATACTTGCAACCTTGAAGGTAGTGTCGCCAAATCTTAAAGGATTCAACTATTGCCAACATCTCTTGATCATGAGTATCATACCTTCTTTGCGTGAGCGATAGCTTCTTGGAGAAGAAGGCCACTGGTCTCCATTCACGGCGCCTTGTAGGTTCTGTGAAAAAGCCTTCTCCTACAGGCATTCCATTGCCTGTATCTCCAGAGGTTATTAACCCCCGATCCTTCCAACGTTGGAAAGTCTCCGGTGTCAACTGCGAAAAGATTCCGCAGACACCATTCCCAGATGCATCAGTTTCACACTGACTGGGTAGGCCGGGGTCGAAGTGATTTAACATCGTGGCATCTGCAAAAGCTTGCTTCAATTCTTCAAACGCCCTCACAGCGTCTTGGGTAAGGATAAACGGTCCCGTTTTCCTGCCTTTAACACTTCCCTTTAACAAATCTGTAAGGGGGGCAGCAATCCGCGAATACGCATAGATGAACCGTCTATAGAAATTCGCGAACCCTAGGAATACCTGCACCTCGCGGTACGTGCGCGGCGCCGGCCAGTCCTCGATGGCGGAGACCCGGCTCCTGTCCATTGAAATGCCATCAACCCCAACAATATAACCTAAGAAATCAATCTCCTGTGTGTAGAACGAGCATTTCTCAGTGTTCGCATAGAGCTGGTGTTGCTTCAAGCGATCCAACACCTCCCGAACGTGGGTATCATGTTCTTTTTCCGTTTTCGAGAAGATTAGGATGTCGTCCAAGTATACTATGCAGGAGACATCGACAAGGCCCCGCAGTGCCTCATTTATGTAGGCCTGGAAGGTGGCCGGAGCGTTGCAAAGACCAAAAGGCAAAACGAGATATTCAAAATTGCCGTACTTGGTACGAAAAGCTGTCTTCCAAATGTCGTTTTCGTTAACCCTTATTCTATGATAGGTGTCCCGTATGTCAATCTTCGAGAACACCCTTGCTCCGGATAATCGATCGATCATCTCATCAATTAATGGTAGTGGATAGCGATCCTTAACCGTCACCTTATTGAGGCCCCTGTAGTCTACGCAGAGGCGCAGCCTACCGTCCTTCTTGGGCACGAATAGTATAGGTGCCCCCGCTGGACTCTTCGATGGGCGTATCCAGTTCTTTGACTGCGCTTCTTCAAGATATTTGCGCAGAACGTCCAATTCCTTTACTGACAAATTGTAAAGGGGTCCGTACGGCGCTGTCGCGCCCTCTTCAAGATGGATCTTATGTCGCACTTTGGTATCAGGAAACTTCGCTGCTTCCTTTTCTGAAAAAACGTCCTTGTAATCTGTGAAGAGACGTTGCGTTCGTCCGCCTTCAGTGGCAGACATCACTGCTAATCTGGCAGTGAGGGTGGCGGCTTCTCCGCCTGCCTCCAAGTCCAAGTCACCTGCTACACAGTATATCGACTCAATCTTATCCTCGAGATTCTTCCGATGGAACTCTTCGGGTTCCTCTATAGCTGCCTCTTCGTCGGTGAGGCGGTACCGCCACGCCTGAGTGACCCAGTCGATGAGAGGATTGTTTTCTCTCAACCACGGGAGACCTAGGATGACGTCCTCATCTATGATGTTGACAGCGTGGAGGAGCAGACTGCTCCCCTTGGAGGTTCCTTCAGAGTCTGTGGCCTCACACTTTGTTTGAATAATGCCGAATCGGTGGCATTTTGTTCCATCTGTAAACTTTGCGTGGCCCGGCGGACCTATCTTTTTCCAACCCTTCATGAGTGAAAAGGAATAAGATATGAAGTTAGCGTCCGCCCCGGAGTCGACTAGGCACCTCACTGGCACCTCCCCTGATGGGGTATTCATCTTCAAGGTTACATGGACTCGGAGTCGTGAGGATTGTCAATCCTCCTTGGGTTTTTCCTTTTTATCTTCAGTGGATACATTTGCCAGAAGGGGAGTCGTCTTCGAGGAGGTATCTCCTCGGTTCCTTCCCTTCTTCGACTTACGGCAATCACTGGCAAAATGGCCTGAGATTCCGCAGTTAAAACAAAGGTTGTTATCCAGTCTATTTTGGCGTTCCTTTGCAGTAAGTGAAGAACTGGAACGCTTTGAGTTCTTCTTTGCATCATCCGCACCGGAGCCGTCATGGCGCCGTTTTGATCCTGTTGTCGGTTGCTTTGAGGGAGTCTTGTTCCCCTTCTTCTCATGGTGTTGATTATTCAAATAGATTCGAGAAGCCAGGTTGACAAGCTCGGTGCGATTGGTGGGCGGACTTTGATATTGCGATATCGTCGTCCGCACCTTATGAGTCAGCTTCGCGAGGTAAAGCTGCGTTTTCAATAGATTCAAATCGTCAGACAGTTCCTCCCAATATTCTTCGAATCTTGCATTGAAATCGGAAGGATTCTCGTCGTCTCGTTGACGTAGTGAGTTGAACCGCTGCGCCGCCGTGAAGGCGCGGTTACGGTGGTCTTCAATCTGGTCCAGAAGGAAGTTCTTGAATTCTTCCCATGTCATGGCAGCATTGCTACGCTCAAGCTCCCTTTCCTTGGTCGCCCATGTAGTTGCAGGGGTGCCTTCGAGGAGGCTCGCGGCGTATATGACTCGTACCTCATGGGTATTAAACTGGCTCAGGTTAAGGCGGAATTTCCGTTCAAGGGCTCTCGTGAAGCTGTGGAATTCAGACAGCGTCTTGCCCTTGTAATTCGGCGGATCTCCAACCTTGATCCCGTTATCTCCATGGTAGACATAGGAGTGTAGGGGC